AGATTTACACTCCGAACAGTTAATTACTATCGATTTATTTATGGAGGAGAGGAGGAGAATTTGAGAAAAATGTTGATGCTTGCTTACATGACTTTTTAAACGTATATGGATTCTGAAAATCTAAGTTTTTTTTTATATCGTTTGTCGACAAACGAACAGACGGGTTACCTGAGGGTAAGCGATCAGCGCCGCCCATGGACCATGGAGTTACTACGAGTGCGTTGCCGTCTTTCTGTGGGTTATTGAGTATTGAGGATGCGAAGGGGAAAAGATTAGGCCTCCGGTAATCTCACTCACACGGCGAAACACCGTTAAGCGTTGCTTCACGCCGGTTATTTGTGAGGCCGTGGTATCACTCCGGTCGAGCCAGCCCATTCGTGCCGAAGCTTTTCTCCCCCGCATTTGGTTTGAGGGAGGTTGCTTTGAACAAATTGAATTTGTGTTTAAACTTTGTCTTGGAATTAAGGTATCGTGGGTCCGATTTTCGCACGGAATAACTCTTTGTGTGATCAACATGGTGCATTGATTATATTGTAAACGTGTCCACGATAAAGAAAAAATCCTAGTGTGGAGCAATGTTTTCTTGCAATGAGAAACAAAAGCAATTGTCTAGTAATTATATTTGACGAAACTTCGACTAGGACTCGACTAGTTTCAAGTCAACCAGACGGGAGTCATATTCAAGCAGCACGATTATACTTTGCCTTATTCAAGGATCGATCCCAGCGAAGTACTCAAAGTTTAATGATCCTTTTCTCTTTAAAGAATAAAAAGCATAATATAAATAATTAATTTAAACCTTAATACCAAACAATTACAACACAAAATGACTTAATTAAATAAAACCTTTATAGTGAACTAGTCCCATTATTATTATAGTTATCTTTAACTGGTTATAGTTACGTCACAAGAGCTTTAACGTAACAGTTACAGCGCAATGTCGGAGAGCAAAAATTGCAAGTTTTAATTGAATACAAAACCGGATTGTTGTCTCAACAACTGTTAAGTAGTTAGCTGTTATACTTTCAAATTAAAAGCATAGATAGATATTACAAACTAGACAATTGCAATAGGTCTCCTTTATTACATTAATCGAGTGATATTTTTTTGGGTCGGGCGAAGATGTATTGAGTTTGCCGAAAGTACCTCTGGTACATACAATTCAACGATTTAGGCAACATCATTAGACTATAAGTTCCCACTGCTGAGCAAAGGCCTCTTCTCACACGAAGGAGGAGCATTAATCACCACGCTTGCTCAAATTAGAAATTAATAAATATTAATAAAAATAATTAGAAATTATAAGTCCAGGTTTAATCGTCATCATTAGCCTATAAGTGCCCACTGCTGAGCAAAGGCCTCTTCTCACACATAGAAGGTATGAGCACCACGCTTGCTCAAGGTGGATTGGCGATTTTAAACCTATAATTACAAATTATAAGTCCAGGTTTACTCACAATGTTTTGCTTCACCGTATGTCGGTAGTGTCTAAAATTCTAAATAATCAGATCAGATAGTACATATAGCTTGGAAAAAGTCACATAGGTATTTGCCAGGTTTCGAACGAGAAAGGGGCGTCTTGAAATTCGGACCACACGGCAGCACGCAATGACATACGGTAAAGATACTATAGATAAATAGATAGATAAGATTTTCAACACGAGTATGCACGACACAACACTTGACTGCACGGTTGGCGCGGTGGCTGGGTAACTGGCTGCCGTGCGACGTGTCGCAGGTTTGATTCCCGCACGGAACAACACTTTGTGTGATCCACATTGTTGTTTCGGGTCTGGGTGTCACGTGTATGTGAAATTGTATGTCTGTAAACGCACCTACAATACAGGAGAAAATACTAGAGTGGGGCAACGTTTTAATAAAAAAAAAAAATTACACTAAAAAGTGTAGCACCAAGGAATCTATATGAGAAACTGATTGAAAAAGACCATGGAGTTTCTTGGTCGTTCTTCTCCATCGGCATCTGCACTTTGGAACGAGCAAATAGCTTCACTAAGAGGACTGACCGACAGACTGACTCTTTACAAGTATCCTTTTGTTAGTCGTTCGACAGTGCCTGTAAAGGATCGAATTAAAATAAATGATGCTGAATTTTGACTTTTGAAAATAGTAAATTCAGATTTTACTATTAAATACTGACCACACTAATATTTCATGGATAGCTCTGTATCAATTGAATATGTTAGCTGCACTCGTGCGCATTATAAAATGAAATATGAAGTAGAAATATCGTTCGGTTGTATTTCGGTCTGTGGTCCCACTGCAAACGATTTGTTTTTAGTTATATATGTAAAATTCTAAATGGATTATGAGTAAAGAACAAAAAGAATATCTTCATTGATACAACAGCCTATGGACTATTGGGTAGTTTTCTAGGTCAAAAGTAAATTATTATTTAGAATCTTTGGTAGGTAAGTATACTAACAATATATAGATTTTTTTATGTAATAGGTCGACAAACGAGCATAATATGGATTACCTGATGGTAAGCAATCAGCGCCGCCCGTGGACACTCGCAACGGAAGAGTAACGAGTGCATTGCCGACCTTTTAGGGATTAGGGATTTGGAGATTTAGGGATTGAGGAGGGATTGGGCCTCCGGTAACCTCACTCACACGGCGAAACACAACGCTGTGGTTAAAAAATTATTATAACATAATGTTATTGATGTCGAATATTTTTCTTTTCAAAATAAATAACCATAAATTCGATTTCTCAATAAAATGAATCGATATTTTTATTATAACTTTCATGAGACATGCTGAATTAATTATTATGTTTTCGGCTTACTCAGGTAATTGTCGCGCAGTGTCAACATGGACCTCTAGCATGGCTTGAAACTAGTCGAGTATCTCGTCAAAACAATTATGCCGAAAACATAATAATTAAAATCGAGATGAAATATACTACTTACACAGCTATACCAATTACTTTAAATGTAATTCGTAAAGATGTTAGAAAAAATAAGTATTGAAGACCCCATTTTTGAGGGAAGAAAATCATCAAATGACTTCTTTCGCCCAAGTATGGCGAGAGTTCAGACGATTTCTGACTATCAACACCCTGTTCCTTTTCCTGGTCTAGGCAGAGGCAAGTATTCAATAACGCTGGAACCTCTCTTAAGAGCTTTTTAACTTATAATAATTTATGTAAATCCGTGCCCAGTAAACTCTCATAACAACGCAGAAACTGATTTAAATAACATTTAAGATACCTCGGGTAATCAAATCGCTAATCGCTAGCACTCACACAACGCCTTTACCGGAGCATCGTAACGGCTCTCCGTTTCTGAGAATCAGACGAGAGGTTGCGTGGTCATTGTTTTTGTAATATCATGTTTGTTTTATTTTTACAGATTACAGAACATGGCCGAAGAGTTTGACGAATGTTGATACTTGATCGACGGATTGGTGCGAGAATGACGGTGAATACGGTGATGGAGAAAATTCAATGGTAGCTCAAAATTTTGGCTTAGAATTTGTTAATTCAGTATACTTAATTTTTCTTGAATGCTGTGCCCCACTCTAAGGTTTTCTCCTGCGTTGTTAACATTCACACAGACAGAGAGACAAAACAACAAGTTGTGGATCACACAAGGAGTTGTTGCGGAAATCGAACGAATCAGCCGGCTACCGCGCCGGCAATAGACCCCAGACGGGGCCCTATAGGGCTGAAACAGGTACTTACAGGGCGCGCGCGGGGCCTCGGCCCAGAGCAGGAGAAGGAACAGGGGGGTTTTTAGCCTTACCCTGGGCGGGAGGAGTCATTTGATAATTTCCCCTGACAAAACGTGTAGTACCCACTAATGTCCATGAGGTAGATACCTTAGGTACCGACTATCGTCGTAAGTTGTAGATGGGTATTTTTTTTACAAAAAACTTCCAAAGATATTGTTTAGCTGAATTTTAGGCTTATAACAGTAGTTGTTCTTAGTAATGAAATGAGTCTCCTGGTATAATAATACATACTATTTAGTTTAATGTATACTTAAGTTATCTATTATTTTATTGATCTCCTATCAAAACTCTTCCCACTTCGTTCAGAAAATGTAAGAATATCTTAAAATAGTGTACCTAGGTATAATTGCAAATAAAATAATTAATATATTCTATTCTATTCCAAAAATGGCCTAAAAGCTCATCAGCACCAGTATGACTTATGGATAGATCTACTTTTACCGCCGTAATGAGGGTCAATGAACTCTGTCTAATGACGCCTAGGTAGTCTCATAGGATAGAACAGATCCTTTACAAACTTTCTATCAATTGATTATAGTCACGATTGTGTCCATTGAATGCAAATTAGCAGATATAATAATAGGCTGCTAAGTGCACTGGTATTCCCTAAAGAATTTACTATAAATATCATTTCAATCTAAATGCAATAAATAAATCCTGCGTACTTACTGTCTTTTTCTATGTGTAATATATCTGAAATAAGAAATGTTTGCTGTATTCACAATATCTCCGCGAATTGCAGATTTTTTTAAAACAAACATGATCAAGTAATTCTTTTCAATTTATTTCAAAAGCGCCATCTCTGAGTCATACTTCCGATCCGATCCGAATCCGAATCCGAATCCGAGTCCATGATTTCAAGCAGTTCAATATTTGCCCAATAGATGCCACTACCCAGAAATTAAATTTTTTTTATTGACATTATACATATGTAACATTAATTTACTTGATTATAGAAAACAATCAATGTTTTTTTATAAATAAAATGAATTGTAACTTCACTAATTAAAAATTCTTTTGAAAGATTTTTAGCATTTTATGAATCTGTGGTCAACGTCAAAATTTGCGTGGTCAAAACCCAAAGCTTGGAAAGCGTTCCAGTATTTGTAATGATATCTCTAACATAAGTGGAAGTTACAATTCTGATATCTCCAGTTTTATGCCCCACTTTACATGTGAGAAAGTGAGATAGAATAATTTGCATGCTACAAATATCAAAGCATATACACACTTTCTAAAGTTTGTTACAATTTGACATTTACAACAATTTGTTGTAATTGTTCCGTTTGAATCGGTGTACAGTTTTAAAGGTGTAAAACATTAATTTTAACAACTTTATCTATTAAAAACTAAGGGGCACCCAACATTTAATAAATATAGAATTAAAACACGCTTACTTACATAAAATATATGATAATTTTCACTTAAAAATACAATAACAAAGTAACTGTTATTTTTAGGTGTGGCTGCTATTTACGGGAGGTTTTCTTGTGAAATTAACTTATATATCTTAATATTGTGAGCAGTGAGGGCAGAGTTTAGAAGACGAAGATGGCTCCTTTACTTGAATCGTGCTGGTCACCATGTATTTGGTCGTCAACAGTGAAAAGTGGAAGTCGGGCAGTTGCCGTGTACACCATAGCAATGAGTATAGTGTTAATTACTTTTATTGCGTATCAAATGGCCGGTGGGGACTCCACGCAGCTCTGGAATCCTTTGTTTGAAGCTGATGTTCGAGGATGTGAGTATACTTGCTCAGTAGTTGTGTTTACTGTTCATTCATGACTCTTTGGAGAGTTTTCTTATGAGTATTTTATAAGACTACCCTTAGGGATACCCATTGATCCAATATTTAAGCTTCCTCTATATTTTGGCTTGAAAAGTACAGTTATTTATTTTAGAAATTCTAACATAATGGCATTGTTCTTCGAATAGACCCATAGGTTTTTTACACCCGGTTTCAGTTAGTAGTCCAGATAGAGATTATGGTTGAACCTGAATTATATACACTGATTAGCTGTCACTGGCAGTCTGATATAAAAATCCCTGAGCTTTACACACAGTCATGGGTTTCAATCTCACAAAATACAACTCTTATTGAGTTATATAAATTGTTGTTGTGGATCTCCAACAACAATTAATATAAATCCAAATCCAATCACACCTGGATGTGATGTGAAACTGAATATTTGTAAATGAGAAGAACACAGGAGAAAATCATTGTTTGAAGTAATGTTTATAAAAAAAGTAATAATATGTTTCTGTTTCAGCTCTACAAGTGTTTGGGACTATATTTATTGTAGTATTTATACTTCTCATCATTTTCTCCGTTCTCATGGTGAGTTTCAATATGTAAGATTATCTAGTTCATAGGTTATGGTGCATAACGTTCCGCGCGCGCCCCAAAGAGCCAATAGACCACCACAGACGGCTGATGTTCAGCTGGGGTTGCAGGGTAAGTGCAATGTGGCACTGTGTCCTCAGCCTAAACCAGGAGAAGGAACAGGAGGGTTTTAGTCAGTAAGAGTCTGACACTCTCTCGCCTTACCCTCAGCGGGAGAAGTCATTTGATGACTTACCCCTGACAAAAATAACTTGTTTATAAGTAAAGAATTTTATTTTGACATAGAGAGAAAAATAGTTATATTAGTGAGTATGGCTTGCTACTAGGAAAATAACTTTACCCCAAATAATCAAATTTTTGTCACCATATCTTCAATCAGTCATTTTTGATTGTCCGTCAACAAAGTTAGCTGTTCGTAAAAACAACTAAAATATCATAACAAATGCTGTTTGGAATTTGAGGAATCTCTAGATTTATTTAGGCATTTCTTGTAAGAAGCGGTTGGTTACAAAGCATTGGTTTCATCTAATAAAAATAAAAAATATAAGTATACATTGTAACCTTATTACAAAATTAAAAATTAATATAAATCTTTCAATAACTGCTTACCTATAAAAGATTGGTACACTCTGTCACTAGTCTTTAAGTTTATATTTAATCCTGTTTCAAATCAATAACCAAATAAATAATATGATTTATTACAGAAGCAAAGTAGCTACAACTTTGAATTACAATATAGGTACAACAACATAAAATTTTCAAATATCAACTTCTTTTTTCCAGGTGATTGGAGTCAACATTTGGATGCGAGGTTTCATACTGCCGTGGTTGAGTTTGATGGCATTCATTATCTTATTCCAACTGCTGTTTGGGCTCTGGCTTATTGGAGGATATTATATTTATGTAAGTAATTACAGTAATTACTATGGCTTTTGCAATTATTGTAGTGCAATGATGAAGATGTAAGTTGATTTTGCCAAATCTATTCTTGTATGCATTGTCAAAATCTTAGAGATACTTATTTGTCGTAACATGTACATTCTGGAGGCACTGGTATCACCGGGTACCTGCCTATCTCCGTCGTGTAGTCGAGGCTTACAGTAGCCGGCACCTAACTTGGCAAGAAGTTGGAGTAGTGGGGGAAAGTTCGCGCATTGTGCACTTAATGGAAATAAAAGTGGTCCCTTTTAGTGATTGTAATTTTTTTATGATTATTGCCATAATATATCTTCAATATCTGTTTAAATGGAAGGAAATTAATTCGTGATATTTATTAGGTGCTATAAATAAAATACCTAAATTAATTTAAAAGTAACGTTTAACCGTCTCTTTTTCAGTAAGAGTTTCTTTTGATATGTAACAATACAAATCATAGACCATTTTTCTGGCGTGTCTACGTAAAATAACGTTTGATCTCGGCATTGTAATAACAAAAAGCAAATTTTTTTAAAAAAAAAAAACAACAATTCGTTACAATAACAACAACTTATAACAAAAACGAAACAATAAACTTAACAAAAACAAAGAGATCAACTTTAGGGCACGCAAGTGTATTCGGAAGCGAACGAGACGTGGACACAGTGCAGGGGGCAAGGGTCTACTGACGCACCAATCACGCACTCGGCTCGACGTTGTCACACACCCCGCGCCCCGCTTGCGTACCAGAGGCATCTAAAATATGACTTCTGCGCATTTAACGACTCTTGCCAAGTTACGTGCCGGGGTCTGTACTTGACGGACAGATGCGTCATCTAGCCCGGTCCCCGGGGCGTGTGGAATCGGCGAGAGATGCCGCGCGGTGTCCCACAGGGATCGGTCCTGGGACCTGTATGAAAAGCATAACATTAAATATATTTTGACATCCTACGGAGTAGACCAGTATTTTTTTTTATGGTGTGAGCCGCCAAGGGTAGTGCGTAACGCTTTCTTTCAACTTTTTGCATTTCCTTGGTTCACTCACTTATTGCGTGAGTAGCACTTACGAAAAGCATTGTAAAATCCATTTTAATTGAAAAAAGACTAAAAGACATCTGCAGCAATTAAACAAATAATCTAAATAAGTTGTGTGATGTTTCCTATCTTAAATTTTAAAAAGAGTATTTTACATAGGTACTACCTAATTACATATTTATATGACTACTTTTATGAAAATGAATAAGTGTGTCAGTTTCAATATTTGCCACAAAATAAAATAGATACATAAAAAAAATTTTACAAAATAAAAAAACCGCCTTCAAAAAGAGTCAAGCAATAAAAGTTCCTACACTAAAAAGTAAAAAATAACAATTTGAATTACTGTAAAAAAACTTAATTTATAGGTAAACTTATTTGACATTAATATTTTGCAAATATTCAAAATGTATTACTTATTTTTGGAGTCGGTGCCAGCATTTTGATGTTGAAACTTAATGTTAGTTAGGTTTTTAATATCCGGTGCCATTTTTCGTACATAATGCTTAAACATTTTCAATGTACTTAAAATGTTTTTGTAAGTACCTACATATTTTTTATTTAAAAAAATGTGCAAATCGGACATTTTTTGTAGAGAAGTCTAATCTGTATTTATGTCTTAATTAATATACCTATATTTGAGTATGCAAATAGGTATTAAGTAGTTTTATAATTAAGTAAGAGGTAGTTTTTCAAGGGATTGTTGCCCATTTGTATTTCCTTGCATGGGCTGGCACCGACTCCAAAAATAAGTAATAAATTTTGAATATTTGCAAAATATTAATGTCAAATAAGTTTACCTATAAATTAAGTTTTTTTACAGTAATTCAAATTGTTATTTTTTACTTTTTAGTGTAGGAACTTTTATTGCTTGACTTTTTTTGAAGGCGGTTTTTTTATTTTGTAAATTTTTTTTTTATTTGTAGCCGTTTAGTGTTTTTTTTTTTTATTATAATGTGTTATGGCAAAGAAGTCAATATCGTTCCTACATTTCTTTTGAAAAAGTTACCAATGTCATACTTATACGTAGAAATACATATCATAGTACATTGTTACTGTGTAATCGTTTTGATCTCGAGGAGAGATGATATGATGCATGAGATACTTATGACTTATAGTTAAAATAAAATAATAATCTTATCATAAATTCATATTAGTTCTCGCCAAATAACAAAAAACTAGATATTTTCATCAACAGACAGATAAAGTTCAAAGATACCAAATGCAATCTAATTTAGTATCTATGATTAAATACATTCGTACATAGAAAAAAGACCGATGCAATTATTGTTTTGTATCAATTGTAACCCATTAAATGAAGAATACTATTTTGTTATTACTAAGAACATTCATATATAGACAAGTTGGTAAAAATATAAAAGACCATCGCTATTGTAAATATACATTTATGACTCACTCGTAAGTATTATCTACATATGTGCACACAAAAGAAACACAATTATTGTTTTGTACGACGCAATTATTGTTTTGTAACCCATTTAAAACGACTGTTTTGTTAAAAATGCCAATTAATTCTCTTAGCCTATTACCAGGAAAACGATAAGAACACAATGACGCATTTCACCACTAATGTGTAAACGCAGTCCACGTGGACTAATGCAAAATAGCCAATACTAGGCCAAACTCCGCCCCCAAAGGTGTGCGGTCCCGCTCTAGAACCTTTCGGCCCCATCGGCCATCTGTTCTACGAGCAATGTGCCGTGCCCACTGTCACTTAAGTTTGGCATTTCTTCGGGCTATGTCGGTGACGCTGGTTCTTCTGCGGATTTCTTCATTTCTGATTCGAACATGCACGGAAACTATGAGCATAGCCCTTTCCATTGCTCTTGACAGCTCTAATAAGCTTACACAATACTAGGCCCCATGCCAACCTTCCAGCTTCATCATCACATCAGTTCAATAGTACCTTACAGCCAAAGTGCATCTTATAACAATTCTAACAAGCCCAAACACGGCTAGGATATATTAATTAGGTACGCAGTTCCAGTGCCTACCTTCCAGCTCCATAATCATCATTAAATCAGTTCGATGATAACATTTCCAACATAATTATTTAAGATCATTGGTTTACAGTGCATTTTCATAGTTGCTGAACTACCTTGATTGTGATATCTATGCGAGTGTCAAGTTTCATCATCCATTTCTGATCTTCTTCACCAGTTCCACCTCATCAAACATTACTTTTTGACTGTAAATGCTTGAGTGCTCTATGAAAATATTAAAATTACTATATAGTTGCCTATAATATTTGAGGAGTTCCCTCGATTTCTCATGGATCCCATCATCAAAACTTGATTTTGAAAAGAATGGGACCAATCTGGAAGCATATCCTTTCAATCATAAAAAAAATTTAGCAAATCCGTCCATAAACGACGGAGTTCTGAGGTAACAAACATAAAAAAAAAAAAATAAAAAAAAAAAAATACAATCGAATTGAGAACCTCCTCCTTTTTTTGAAGTCGGTTAAAAAGTAGAGTTCTAGGCTGCGAAATATTTATTCATACAAAACAAAAAGGTTGAAAAACATTAGGGTGAATACTTAGAACTTTATTACAGAGCGCATTCTAGCACGATACTTCGAAGTTCTAATCTAAAGCATGAAATTGCATCTTTTGCATGTTATTTTTTACGAAATATTTTTAGTGTTAAAATTATTTTGTTTAATCTTTCAGTTGGACGCTACATTCTCTGCATTTATCGATTTTATCTGGATGGCATACAATGTAAGTATATTGAATAAGTACTAGCTACTCCCTCGCGGTTTCACTCGCTGCTCGGCTCCTTTTGATTGTAGCGTGATGTTTTATAGCCTATAGCACTCAGGAACATTGTAGCTATGAACAAGTGAAAGAATTTTGGGAATCCGACAAGTGGTTCCAAAGATTACCCCCTACATACAAACTTACAAATTTTATCTCTTTATAATATTAGTGTAGATTGATAAAATACTAGCTACTCTCTCGCGCTGCCAACCGCTGCTCAGCTCCATTTGATCGTAGAGTGATTTTTTATAGTCTATAGCACTCAGGAACATTGTAGCTATCTAGCAGTGAAAGAATTTTGGAAATCCGACCAGCGGTTCCAAAGATTACCCCCTACATACAAACTTAAAATTTTTTCTACTTTATGAAATCTTAATTATACCATGATTTTGTAAAATTGGATTGGATCTGATGGTAGGCCGGCGCTGACCCTGGACACCTGCTACACCACCTGTTACTAGTGTTCTGCCGGTCTTATGGGGATTAATGCTAAAACCTTCTCCATTTGAGAAGAGGCCTTTGTTCAGCAGTAGACACTTGTAGGCTGATGATGTTGTTTTGTGTTGTCCAAACGAACTTAGAAATACTTATAGATAACTTAGGATTAGAAAACTCAAATTGGAGCTTCTCATACTGTTATACTTGGGAAATGGGTGCCTTAACCCACACACCAGTCCGGGCCACCACAGCAAGACAGACCACATTAATATCTATAGATGTTTAGTTTATGTAGGTTATATTTATTATTAACCGACTTCCAAAAAGGGAAAAGTTTCTAATTGGACTGTATTTTTTTTTCAGATCTACTGCTGGTTATGTGTCTTCTCTCAGTACCAAATTATATTGGAGATGCAATCACCAAATATAGAGATTTTAGTTGAATACTAAAATTGTTGTTAGTATCATATTTATACAAATGTTTGGGCCAACATTCTAATATTGTACCAGTACAATGTTGGCACAAATGTTGGTACAATGTTGGTTCAAAGGTAACATATTTTTATTGACCTACATGAAGTGAAAATCGTAGTGTGAACTGGCACAAATCAATTTGAATCTTATAACTGTATTATTTTAGTATCAAATTTGATTATGTATGTATATGGATGAAATCGTGAGTTTGCAAATACAATCTTGTTGTATATGTATTAAAATATATTTTTGAATAGTAACTATCGTGAGATATACAAATTTTAATGAAATAACGACTTATTTTTATGTGAATTAACTGAGAAAATCTCTACTAGTTTCGAGTCACAATGGGACTCTAATTCATGAGCAGCGTGCGCGGCGCGACGACGTCTATTATGACATTTTTCATTTGTTTCTTAGTAAGTCTGTATTTGAAATAAATTTATAACAATGTAACACTGTTAACAATGTAGGTAATTATGAAGTGCCTTAATTAGTAAAATATTTGCTGTAATTCAAAGCTTAGATAGTAGCCACATTATTAGTAATCTTATGTGATTTTTATTGATTACTAATTGCGAAAAAGTTAAATAGACTTTGATATTTTTTTTGTAAATGTAGTTGTGAACTAAACAATAGAATCTATGGCAGAAGTAATAATTACTATAATTATTATAAAAAAGACGGTAGCTATAAATTAATCTACTTATAATCATTTTGTAGTATTTTTTAAGACGAAGTCGACTAGGTTTTTTTCTGTTCCATCCTTTTCAGTCGACTAATCAGTACATGTCTATTTTTTAAATGAAATATGGAATCCGTCCACATATTAATTCCGCAATTATTTATTTAGGTAACAATTTTTTTGCATTTATTTTTTGTAATGTGTATTGCATGTAGCTTTAAGATTCAATTTACATAGAACGGTGTATCTTCTATCAAATGACAAATGACTTGCAAATTACAGAATCTTAATGCATTATGAACTTACTGTTTTGCAGTTAACATTTAGTTTCGAATGGCGAATTTGTTTATTATAAATAATCTGCTTAAACAAATCATGTTGCAGGGAAAATTAATTTATATTTCGAGAACATTAAAGTTTATTTTTCAAAAATTGATTTAAGAATGATTCATTGTTCTACGTTGGTAATTGTGTCTTGTAATATAAGACTAAGTAATCCGTCCATTGTACTCTATTAACTTACTTATGAAATATTGAAATAATTAAACTTGTATATTTTTATCAAATCAGATAAATCAATGGCTTTTTTAAATTGAAAATGACAAGAATGAATCTCGTATTTCTACTTATAAGCATTTTACTAACTGACCTTTTATTTACAAAATATTATGTTTTAATCAATTATTAATTTACACTATATATAAGTATAAAGTGTTCAGTAATTTAGTATTTTATTTAGGAAGTACTAATATCTTGACAGCACCATAGCATTCATGAGTTGTTTTAATGAATGTACCGTTTTATTTAATAAATAAATAAATGAAGTTTGTAATTCTGGGTGGTCTTTTTAATGCAATGCCTAATTTTCTATATAAATTTAAAAAAGCATGGCACTATAATTTTAGGAGAGAATCTTATTCAAAATTTAAATCTGCGCCATCTAGTTTCATATTAAGACACTAAGTAGTGAAGTAGTCCTCTGAATCTTAAAGCGTTAGGAGTGCTAATTCATAGTTTATTAAGATGTTTTTTAGAAGCAAATGTTAATTGAAATATGTTACAATGATTAAAACAGTTATTTTTTTGGTACTGTTATGAAGTGAATTTCAGTTTTAAATTAAAAGGAACTTTACAATTATTTGAAGTAAAACCACTAGATGGCGTAAGTTGTTCAATTCGAATTAGTATTTTAGAATTTATTTCAAAGAATGCTGCGATTAAAGGGCACAATCCTACAGTGTGTATATATGTCTGTATAGTAATAGGTCCTTTATTAAAACAGTTGTACAATGTTTGGATACTAGATAAAGACAAAGTTTTTGTAAGGAAGTACCCGCATACTGAACTAATACTATTACGAATTTACGACAGTACCTAAGTACGTATCAGGAGGTGTCATTAGCTCAAGTCAGTATGAGGCTGTATGTTACTAACTTAGGTACTTACTATCTCTTACGGTATAAATATAACGTCGATATTCGAACGTTTTGAGACATCAAGGCAACCAAGCCCAAAATCTTACCTGACGTTGTTCACACGGTTCTTTTTTTTATGTTATTGGTCAGATTCTCTGATGGTAAGCAATCGGCGTCGCCTATGGACACTCGTAATACCAAAGGAATTATTACAAAGTGCCTATTACCTAGAGATATAAAACACAGAAAACCGGCGTGAAATAACCACTTCGTTGTGTTTCGCCGTGTGAGTGAGGTTACCGGAGGCCCAATCCTTCCCCTTCCCCAATCCCTCCTCAATCCCTAAATCTCCAAATCCCTAATCCCTAAAAGGTCGGCAACGCACTCGTAACTCCTCCGTTGCGAGTGTCCATGGGCGGCGCTGATTGCTTACCATCAGGTAACACGTCAGCTCGTTTGCCGACCTATCACATAAAAAAAAAATTTGAATCAAAATGATGTTGCCTCCATTGATCAGACATTTCGTTCGCGAATAAAAGCAAATATGTCGACGACACAATAATGAATACAACACTAAGAGGTTACAATGACGCGCGATCCGCCCGCTAGTTTCAAGAACGGGTCTGCGATGGCCGCCCCGCTTCCACGCCGCCGCCGCTGCCGCCCCGCTGCCCGCAAGATTAGAGGCAGTGGCCTAAGCCCCACCAAACATCGGCCCTTGTGACTATAAATAAGCTCCATTTGTGGTTGTGACAATAATTGAAACAAACTGATTGAAAATTCTTAATTATTTATTTAATCGGACAAATAAACTTCTTTTAAATTCATGATTGAAATAAAAATAGGTACGTGACATTCATTTCAAGTACTGATATTTTATCAGAAGAAAATTAAAAAAAAACAATAACAGATAATTGCATGACAAGCCTATCCCAAATTTTTATTATAATAATTACAACTTTATTACAATTTTAATAATAATTATTACCTTACATTAAGATATAATAACGAAGCCTTATAAAAATTGAAATGAACAACGTTTTCCATTCGTATTGCACGTTTAAAAATAGCATAAATATTACCAATTATATCAATATTGCAATAACATCTAATCCAATTAATATAAAAATTACAATTTTCCCTAAATAAAAATAATAAAATGTATTTGGCTTGAATAGATACTTAATAAAAATAAAAACTGGAATGTTTGAGTATTTTTGCCACCAAAAATTTTATTTTGTCATGTTCAATTTAATGACAATTAGATAAATATATTTCTTTAAATCGTATTGTAAAATAATTGTAAAGAAAATTATTACTTTTTAAAAATTAATTTGCAATGGCGATTTGATTCCTAGTGACAGAAAGAAAAATAAAGGATATCGATAAAAAGTATCGATATATTGAAAATCGATTAAAATCTAATATGTAGATGACAATTAATTATGTACAATGAAACCTTATATTGATTAATAAAAATAATAATAATATACAATACTTAAATGCTAAAATTTACAACGTTAAATGATTATTTATTATTATCGCCTAAATACAGTCATGTCGATAAACTATTGTACAATAATTTACAAAAAGCTTAACTATAAATGATATGCAAGAAGCTATTTAATATAGCTCATGATTTCACTGGAATATTTAAATAAAACTATTTAATTTAAGTACGCAATAATATCGAGAGGTCTAACGATAAAATTTTCAAATTGGAAATCGATCAATCGATTGTGAATTGTTTGGTTAAATCGATATATTATATTTGGATGTTTAATGATTTATTTAAGGCGCTGATTCTCTTGTATACTAAATTTAGTTCATTTTAAACTATATTTATTTTTAGTGACAATATCAAACTTTATAAAACGAAAAAAGAAAAAGTTGGTAAATACTTTTGTGTTATGCCATAATTGTAAGGTTGTTAATTTCTTTTATTTCGACTATTGAAGGTCGTAGGTTTAATCTACTAATATAATTGGTAGGTATATAAGAGAATAAGCGCAGTTGTCTTTAAAAATATGTTGTGTGAGTACGCGATTGATATAAATGCAAGGTCTATGCCTAAAGCATAATTTTTGGCACATCCCCAAAGAGTATTAAAATAATATTAAACTCCAAAAAATAGAGAACACCATAACATCTGTCTTTGACTGAGTATTTTAGTTTTGGAAGTCTTGTTTAGTTTTACCGTATACATTTTCCGATAATAATGCATCAGGGATACGTCCCATTAAGTCTAATTGAGACCCGAAACAACAAAAAAGGGTAAACTTAACAATCGGTTTAACAGAAGCTTGCTAATAGTACGAAGGTTGCCGAAGATTCGGCTATGAGCCTGCCGAGTACCAGTTCGTGTTCGGTGGCGCGGACTTATCAGGCTGATGGGAATGAGACGCGTGGGCTGAATGCGCCTGAGGATGATACAGGTGGAACGATGAAGGTGGATGGAAGAACTGCGACTGGTCTAACGATGAAGCGTAGTCTAAAGCACCAGGAACAGCTGAATAAGCCTGAGGCTTCAACGGTAATGGAGCTTCACCTAAATACGAATGTCTTAATGCTTCAGAATAAGCACTATTGTCATATGGCAACGCATATTGCTGCTTGTCTCTAGGCGACACTGAACCTGGAGGAGTCATTGCCGAATGATAGTCGGCGTAACCTCCGTAAGCTAAAGATCCTATGTCGGTTCCCTTATGTCCTAATTGCTCTCCATAGCCAGAGCCTTCACTACCTGGCGGGGTCGGCAAGGGCCCAGACTGGCCATCACCAGAATAGTAACCACCAGTTCTACCATCACCTAAAAAGTTGCTTCTGATAACGCTTTCTCTGTTCGCGTAAAGTTGTCTCAACAAAGCTGACGCGGGCGTAGACGTATGGTTCGCTGGAATCTGTCTATTCAAAGGATTCAAGTGATGGTTTTGAGTCCCAATCCACTGTATTGTTGATTTCTGTTGTTGTTGCTTCAAAAGAGCATCGGTGGAGAAGTCGGTTGGTCTGTGAGAGATTTCTTTTCCATCTAAAGCTACCGAAGGTAAGTGCTTCGACATAGCATTTTCTAAATCTCTAACTGATGTTGCGTCTGACCCTCCCTCAGGTATAGCTAAATTGGTTTTGGAAATATCACGTTCTGCGGGTGAAATTGCAGCTCCAGGATTAGAAGACGTCTTTCGTCTTTCTTCGTCTCTTTCTGCTTCGTCTTCGCAGTCAGTTGTGTGTTTACGTTTCTTCAGTCTTCTGGCTGGCATGGGTGAAGTTCTTTCTGTGTTTGTGTGAAGAGGTAGAGGTTGTGCGTCGCTGAGTCTGGTTAGGTGAGTGACTTCAGATGTCGGGACTGGCGCTGATGATGCAGAGTCAGTGTTAGTTGGAGGTTCTGTTCTTTCTGCTTGATGGCGCGGTGGAGGAGGTGGAGCACCGGAGTTGTCGGTATCTGGTGGACCATTCTCTGGATCTCCAGTTGTTTCTTCTCTTTTTACTCCTTGTACGCTTTCTTCTAGTTGACAGCAGTCCATTACTGTGTTTGGATATTCGCGTCCGCTGGAAAGTACAAAGCAATATGTTATAATTGGGCTTTTCAATCTCAAGTATATTCTATTAGATTTTAGTATCTGATCTTCAATAATCACAGCAGACTTTGATATAACCTACCTGATAACATAGTTGACGCAAATAATATTCTGTTCTTCGGCGTTCTTTGAGGAGCAAACAACTGTGGCACAGGTTTGCATCCAGGTGTAGCCACCGAGCTTGTTCATTATCCTATAGTAGTGCGTCAGAACTTGGCCTTTGTTCATTACTGAAACAAAAAGAGATTCCAAGTTTAGTATGTTTTGAGAGTTTGGCAAGCTAGTGTAATAATTCTTGTATAACCTGTTGGACAAAAATGAGGTTGAATCAATCCAAATCCAAACTATTATTACAAATGCTAAAGTAACTCTGTCTGTCTGTCTTTTATTCACGCCTAAACTACTGAACCTATTTGTGTGAAATTTAGTACAGACAGTTTGTAACTCGATAAAGGACATAGAATAGTTTTTAAACCAAAAATCTGCAGGAAGTTACTATATTTGCTTATAAACTAGGACTGATGAAAAGGATCCAGTGGTCCTTCCAATACTTTTTTGAAAAGATTCAGACTTATAAATGTTTCAAATCTATCAAAAGTCTTTTCATTGACTTGTAAGTCTCCAAATGTTTATACCGCAGTTTCTTTCAGTACCTAATCAGGTTTTATAGGAGCATAATCGTCTTGTCTCCAACCGCGAATACCATACAGGACTAGGATAAGACATATCGATTGACCTTCATCATGATCACAAACAATAGCTTAAACAAAAGTAAACGCACCTATATTAGCGTGATAATATTCAATAGATTTGTTACACAAAGGACATAGTGAACACGTGTTCATTGTACGTGAGTCATTAGGACTAACACGGTTTTTGGCATTGTTGATGTATTGTATTGGCAACGGATTTTTTAATTATGATGCATTCGGTCTTGGTAGAGAGCCAATAAGTGAAAATGATGGAGCGTTTGTTGTCTAGTCTTGTTAATTTTATTTGGTTATAATTTTGACTACACTCGTCATAACTTCTGAGTTTCCAATAGATGTCGATATAGAAGATCGAAAGACTAGGCTAAGCGATAATATATATGAAGTTATGATTATCTCAGTTGGGAAACAGTTAGAAGCTAATGAGCTAGTTCTGCTTCGTATTAAACTCCAGGTAAAAAGAAACGATGATCACATTGTGAATAAGAATATAACCACCATTATGATAACTGTCAAAGATGAAGTGGTGGTAGAAGAATTTATAATGAAGATAAACCTTGTAATGGTATTATTATTTTCTGGTATTGTACTTTGGCACACGGAAAACATATTATCGTACACAATAAAAACATAAATCAACTTGTTTTCAGGCAAAGGACAACGAACAAATGCCATAGCGTCATACTTGTCGGAAGTCCCAAACATAATCATTTAATTTTATTGGACGTATGCACAAAATTTGAATATCATATGCCTCGCGATCGTCAATAAAGTCATCTGGTAACCAAAACGCGTATACAGTTGTAACCAAATTACCCGCTTTCTAACAAACACCCGGACTTTTATGCTAATTTGTACAATTGTTATTCCAGACCAGGAATGTCCACATTTGACCGGCATCTACATAGATGTACATTTTAAATTTAAATTGATGGTCTCGTAAAGCTATCAAATGGTAAGGTGCTAGAACCGCATGACGTTAACGCTTCACCGTGATTGGCATTCAAAATGTCAGCCATCTTGTTATGTACGATGATTGGTTGGGTGATTACGTCAGTATTATGAGTTCTTCCATTCATGTCATCTTTGTTCTTGAAGTCGTGTATTTTTGTGTCCACCACAATCACATTAGATCGGATTGAGTTCAGATGAGTAACATACATAAAGGTCGTCACGAATTTTCCTCATCGGTAAATTAGCATAGGTGTTTGCACGGAAAGCACACATTGACGTCAACCTTAAGGTTGTCATAGAAGAAGCGACGCATCGAAGAAACAAAATAGAATTTGAACATAATACATAAAACTGGAAATAATAAAATTCAATAAGGAAACTGATAATTTAAAAGATTTAAGAAAAACTTTAAATGCCGAGGAAGTTGAAAATAACAAAAACTATGAATCACACAATAATTCAGACGGGAACAGTCATAAAACAAAAAAACGTAATCTCATAGGACATTAAGGCATGACATTTCCCACGTCTTCATACAGGGAGAGGAAACCAAAATGGTGGTATAAAAATTATTATTCAAATCACAACGTGAGTAGAGACGGGCCGGCATGGCGCTAGGCCTAAATTGTATTCCACTGACGGATGTGCAGGAAAGTAATAATATCACATATACGCAAAGATAACGTTGCTTGAGTAAGAATTTCTCGGAATATATTTTAGCTTTATCATACGGAAAATTTATGAATAGATGAGAGATGGAAATATTCTGTAAACAACACCTTAGTATTAGGAAACCCAAAACCTATGATTTTAAGTAAGAATGAATAACTAAACAGAATATATAAAACTGAAACAACGAAAATCATTACAGAAGAAATGTTCCCACAAAACGTCGGTCTCATAAATTTTCCTCGAAACGATTTGCGCCTTGAGCTGCCTGTCTTCTTGACATGGATTTCTATAGACCACAAACTGAATACAAATCGGTAGTTACGACATTAACCTACGAAGGATTTCACCACATATATTGGGTCATGGGTGGACATCGCGTCGTTTATAGACAATTGATGATACTTGCAAGGCTAATTAGAAATAGAGGCGACAATTAACGTTGCCTAACTAGATTGATTTATTGAAAGAAATTTTGAAAGGTACCTTTTATTAGAGGTAGGAAGTAATAAAAAAATCATTACACGCCTAATAATGAAGTGAAAACAGAAATTTCAAATAAAATAAATAAAACAATTCCAAATAATCAAAGATGTGTATATGATGAAGATAATAAAAGACAAATCATAAAAATGCAGCACGTCTTTACGACTGTAATCAAAATCTCGTATCTGATTTAGCAATTGAATATAATGGCACAATGAGGAAATGAGATACAGAAAGATATAGTAATAAAGTAATACGTACAATCTACGTGACATTTCCTAAGTTTGTTGGCGTCTTCACCATGGCAGAGGGCGTAAAGATTCTTCCCCGTCAATTCTTCCGCGGTGTAGCCCAAGAGTTCTGATACTCGACTGGAATTAAAAAAGGCAATGTAAAAATATTATCCTAGTAAGTATGTTTTTAATGTTGCTTCTTTAATATGACTGGTTTGCAATATTTACCTGGGCTCGCAATGAGCTATTCGGAAGTCAAAGTTGATTCTTGTGACGAACATGTCTGATTCTAATCTAATCTCATGAACAGATGGCGGTGGTAATGCTATGGCGAGAGCCACCATGCCCAGAAGTACCGTTGGAGACTTTCGGCTATGGGAAAAGGAATACTGCGGTCGAAGGCGGCACAGCATCAGAACCACCTGGAAAGAAAGAGAAAGACATTGAAGAAGTGGTACACGAGCACTTGAAAGTTATCTTTACGTTACTACTGAAAGGAATATAGACTGAAAATACAAAAACTATTATTATTATTATGAAATTAGAGTTCGTCAATAATGTCGTCTTCTGCAATGGTTTGATCAATAAAATAAACAAAGTTAAAGTCTTTGAAATATACATATCTTATTATCTACTTTCCTATATATCTCAACAGATTTAATAAAAACGTAAACAAAGAAGAAATTCAACAAAAATAAAACAAAAAACACCATCAAAACTTTCACAGTAACTTCGTTTTCTTAAAATAGAAAACGCGGGACGTGTCTCATGTAAGAACATTAAACTTTCAAACATAACGAGAAACTGAAAAGCTATTTGTTGTTGTGAGGCACGTATAAAACATATTACCAGGTAATCGAATTCCAAGATCAAATGTAAGGAGGATCAACTAATTTGTAATTTTCCCAATAAAATCCTAGCCGTCGGCGTAACATGCACTCGAAATCGTTCCAGTATTAATTGTTCAACTGTTTCCAAAATGGAGTTGTTATTACCCATTAAGATGAAGATAAAACAAATTATGGTTATAACTTTTACTTTAATACCTAACAACCCTTTAAAATAGAAATAAAAGAGCAATCGACAAGCAATAAAGAAATGAACGAGTCCCTTAGCCTAAAAGGAAGTGACCAAGAAATAGCTTATAAAATAAAAGGAGAATTTACACCCCGAAAACAATCTACCGGCAATTTCGCTCAGCTATTGCGGTATTCGCAAGTCGCTTCTGATATAATCACGTTTTATGACCTAGCACTGAGTTAAGGCAAAAATTATGGGGCCATATAATGCTGCCTTGAGGCACCCCAAGCTAACAATAATTCTAACCAATAATATTTGTGATCTAAGACGGATAAGGAGGTCGTTCGAATCCATTTGTTACTCGCTGTGTAGATTATGAAGCTGTGAGATACAGTTTCATGGATGTACGTGGAGAAAATTATGATTTACGATGTCGAAGGGTGAAGTAAGGGCAATTTTCTTTGCCTAACTACTCGTAGTAAAGAACTAGACATATAATTTATAAAAAACACGCATACAATTGACAATAATCTCTTTACTACAAGATACCCACCCGCCAGTTACCACTCTCAGCGGACCTCGCTGGTTCACCCTCCTTGTTTCTTCCAACCTAGATCGAAAATGAAAATTCAGCGTCCATATATTTCTCTCTATAAATGTTAGATAAGAAAAATGTCCACAAACTTTCATAGTCCTCTTGGTCATTAATTTATCATAAAGAAATAGTTTAAGGATGTTTTATTGGTGAAAATGTGTTAAAATTAATGCTTTCGTATTCTATTGCAGTAAAGCAAAGACTTAGTAGAACTGGTCGAACGATTATATATAACAAAAAAGCCATTTAAATTGTCATCTACTAAATCTTCGCTTTTGACTTAATCTTTGCAGGTTTCCTTACCCTGTATCCCGATGACTTGAAATGGCACCCTCTCTTGGTCAACGTGCTTTTCATCCTCACGCAAAACGCTCGGTCCATTCCTCGGTAGAGCGACCCACTCGCCGCTAGACTCATTTGCGATGACACTGTTAACAAAGAAAATGAATTGAGTATTCTTATTGAAGTTTATTCACAATTAGTGTTTACTGTATTTGAAGTTCAGCGTCTACTCTAAGTTATATTTTCTATTCAGACTCGTATCATCATAGGATATTAATAAAATATACGTCTTCAATGACAACATTGTTGTGTCTTCATCTTTGAATTAATTTGTTTTGTAATGTATGGTAATTAAATGCAGTTTAAAGATAGATAAATTCCAATAGATTGCAGTCTATTGATATCACGTAATACTTATTTTTACGCAGTTCATTAACGTACTAAAAAGTTCCGTCTAAGTTATGCCTGTTCGTTAAATGATATAAGTATAAATAAAAAAAATAAGAACCGTTAGTCGGCCCTTAATTGATTTCCTTACTAATAAACATATATCTGCTAAAAAACTCGAAGTAAAGAACCAAGAAATAGACCAAATCTTAACACAAATAGATTCAATTTTTGGTTAAAAAGTGAATCAATCTGTGTGAGAGTTGATTGATTGGGTGGACGTGTAACTAATTATAAGGTTTGTGATGCGACTGGGATCGGGATGATCGACACTACGCTGTAATTGATTTCACTGGACCAGCCACTAAGTTATTTGATTATGGTTCTAAAAGTTTTTCAGACACTGATGTAGAAGAAAACTGCACAAGTCAAGGTATTCATAAAACTGTGATTGATTATGTCAAATAGGCGAATGATATGGATGTAGAATGGCATGATCTCAAAATGTCACTCTTAATATAATCTCTTAAATTAGGGTTTTTATTGAACACACTATTACTTCATAGTACATAGTAACAGGTAGTTTTTATAATATTTTTTAGTGTTCCCATTTCAGTAGCCAGTTTTTGCTAACATTAGTCATAGATCGATAGGTACATTAATTCCTTTATTTCCTCGGAATAGCCTGCAAAAAGTATTGTGTTCATCTTTCTTTTATTTTTTTCTTTGAACACTTTGATCTAAGATTTGATCTTGCCCTCGATTGTCACATAGTAAGAATAAATTGCTGTTACGTTTTTATTTGTCTACAAATTATAATAATTATTAAATCTTAATATATTGTATTACGAGTTTTTTAATTTAATATTAATAATGTAACAATAAGTGGGTTCTATTTGAACAATCAGGTAACATGTAGACTTTTTTACTACAATACCTTATATTTAAAAAATGGAACAATAGAAACGTTTGAATTACATAAAGAAGATAACACAGAAATAACTAAACAGCATACAAAGGACAATAAAATTGATATAGCAGAGGCCAATATTGTCCTTATTACCAACGTACATAACAAACATAACGACAAAGAAGTAACAGCTGTCAACAATGTTAAAATTCAACTCACATGTGATTCTGTTGCAAGTTTAATCTTTGGCAATAGGCACAATGACCATTATGGTTTACAAAAGGTATGTCGATTGGTATCAAGTTGGTGTTACATTAAACTAGATTGAGTCAGCGTCCTAATATTTGTATAACCTTGGTATATTTGACAGCTTTATATAAGAATGTGTATAAGTACTACTTTTTGTTTGATTTTCTTGAGTTGAAGGAGGTGTGAAATGTTGTTTAAATCATTATTTTGCTAGATTATCCTAATACTATAATTTTCTAAAGGCAGCAACCGATCATTATCATCATTTTTGATAATGTTAACGTTGACAAAAGTCACTGTTAGAAATATATCGGAGTTTTTAAGTTTGTTTTGTTTGAAAACACATATAATAAACTTTTTCATTTTGTAATTCATACTATTTCCAAATTTAATTGACGTGCCTAACGAAATATTTATATTTCTTTTATCGTATTCTCAAAGCGAAAGTCATGATTTAAAATTTTAATGTTTTGGCAGCCGATGAAAATGTAAAATTGTTTGTAAAAGATAAGATCTGAGATACTAGTGACATTACAGCTACTGGGAATACTGCGAGAGCCAAACGGCAGATTATGGCAATATCCCAAGATGTCTGCATGTGGGAGCGGTGCATACTGAACGTTTACGAGTTGATATTATCTAAATAGCAACAACAATTCTATTTAATTCTTTTAAGCTCAAGCTCAAGGTTGTACAAAGCATCTGGCGTTTCTGATTCAATATCTAAACTTACTATTTTGTCTTCAAATTGAAATTTTTCTTCGATTCTATCTTTTCTTTTTTGTAAAGTTGGATCAGATACATTCAAATTTATCAAAATAATCATATATTTGGTACAAGTTTGTTTTGGATGTTCAACGGATTGGATTGATTGAATAATTTTATCCAATTTTCTTTTTCTTCCTAGAGAATTTCAGGTGTTACAATGTTTTGCAATTTCGAAACTTTTAGAGCCACTGTTCTTCCAGCTCAGAAAACATCACGCCATGGTCATCACGGTGACAATGTGGCGATTTCAACATGGATCACTGTTCTGTGACTCATTTCACCACGGCCGTCAACACACAATGGTCGACTGTCAAACCAACTCGATCCTGATTGATTTTTTTATCGAGTTTCTTTAGTAGCGTAGAGTAAATTGAAATCAATTCTAGCCCTTCGATGGTATGTTTGAGATGTCTGGTTTTAAAAATGATGTGTTTTTTTAACCTTTATTGGTGTAGTAGCGAAAAATTGGGACGACCATTAAGTAGTATTTTTTTAGGCAGCAAAAAGGTGTATAGAATTTTCTTGAAGCCTTAACAAAATGAAGCTTTTAAATACAGATTGGTTAATGTTATTGTACCAGTATATATGTTATTTATCTCCGTGAGTTTTGAGCCTATATTGATTTTGTTCTTTTTATATTAATCTTATGTAAACGTTTGTATTGTGTGTCATGATTGACCTCCTATCACTTATTTTTATCAAACGTTTTATACGATTCCAACAATCATTCATTTCGTTCCATTTCATTGCATTCGTGGAATCCAAAAAATTACACAAAACAATCAAAAGAAAATATTGAATTGGAATTGGTAGCATTTAAAGCAAGTTTTTCAACAGCCAGGCCGAAGCCACAACAATAAATAAAAACTCAGAATTCATTCGACCGCATAACATTGCCGGTGGAAATTATTATACGAATGAATTTTTTGCCTATCGTCGTGTTTAATTGAAGCCAGCAGTCGGCACCCACATCTCTTTAGAAAATTAAACAGATGACTGACTTAATAGCACAGATGACGGCGGCGCCTTGATTTGATGCGCAGTTGTCATCATCAGCATCCAACTACATTCCCATAGTAGTTGAAATGAAATAATAATTCGTTGTATACAGGTTCATACTGACACCCCATTGACCATTTCATAAACTCCCAACGCAGCGTGAACGTTTCTTAATCTAATTTCAATTTGATACACAACTTATTAGTATCAGCATTGGGCGATTCGATATACTGAGTGAAATTTTTAGATCGGTATTGTCGCCGTTTGTGGTTGGAGCAACGACCTCGGAAATAAGTCGGGTTTAATTGAATTCCGAACAGATTTTTTTTGTTAGAAACGAAGATTCGATAATTCTTGTTGCTTCTCGTTTTCTATGTGACACCTGTTTACAATGAGTAACGGTAAAAACTGTTCGGTTTACTGTTTTCAGTAAGTTTTTTGAAGACTTTTTACTGCGTCGCATCGTCTCGAATTAAATGATGTTAAACGGTATCAGAAGTAATCTAAAGTAGAACAACTGAGCGAAGGGAGAAGGAAAATTGCATTCAAGTATTTTGAAGGTTTCAATAAAAATCTGAATGATGAGAACTCCTTATTAATTCTTCCCAAATGTTATTTGAATCAAACTTACCATCAGGATTATTAGTTCCATGCTGACTTCCCTCTTCACTACCTGACGCTGGACTGTTCAGACCAGCTTGTCCAGGTCTACCAGTGAGGGATAGTCCTAGCTGTTCTGCTATTTCTGCATGATCGGCTTGATGCACGTAGTCAAATATACTGCTACCCGTCATCTCTACCTGGGAATGGAAAAAATGGATTAGGGTTAATTATGATCAACAATTACTTGATTATTAATAAACTTTTTTCTATTATTATTAATTACTTGAGAATTATTATGTACAATTGCTTTTTATTTTACATGGGCTTACAATAAGCTAAAAGGTGAAACAGGAATATGCTAATCCTATCTCTTTAGTGAAAAGCTTTATGTTGATATAAAGTAGTAATAAAAATGTTTATTTTTGTCATGAGAACCGGAAAGACCCTTACTTTTTGAGAGTTTTCATTCAACCTTTCCGAGCTTATGATCATAAAGTTATTGGCCATTAAAAACCAGTCGTCAAAACCAAAGGAAGGACTGAATGGCCCGTCACGTACTGATGTTATGAATGAAAGAGTTATCTTGAATCTCATGGCAGGTGGCTTTCATAGAAATGGCTAACAAGACAATGTTTATACTAGGATTGATGAGACTGAAGGTAAACGGGACTGAGATGTGATTATCTTCAACGAAGACGCTGCTGACGTGTGTGATGACAAAAGGTTGTAAAGTGTACGATAAAGTCTTGTTTATCATTTCAATTTATTGCTGTCTTGGATATGGTACTACTAGTGTAGATATTACGGGAGGAGTCTAAGATAATAATAATGATTAAACAAAGTTACTTGATTGTCAAGATGATGAGTCATGAAACTGAAAATGAATTAGAAAAAGAAACAAAGACCGAACTTTGAAAAAAAATGCCAACCGAAACATCATCAACAAATCAAAATGCAACAATATAACCATAAATAAAATCGTTGAAAACAATAAAAATCCATCCAAAATCTGAACGATGCCAAGACTTTCACGGTGACCCTTTCACGGGTTATTCAAATGCATCTTTAAATAAATTTATCAAATATAATTGTGGGACTATATTATAGATTCAGTAAGCGTGTATCCGCAGTCCAGGCTTGCATGTAAATGTCCTAAGACAATGGTGACGTTATGGTGGTCGGTTCTCAGAACGATGGTAAGGATTTTATGGTGTTTACCGATTCGCCGATTGATGGAACACAAATTTTTCGTCGTTGGAATTTTATTATGGAAAATTTTCTTGTCGATGGGAATTCTAGAGTAAGCTGCGAAGTAATCGATTGTCAGGTTTTAGAGATGAATTATAATAATGGATAGTGTATAATATTAAGAATCAATGCTATACTTAATGAATCACCGCTAAAGCTGTGACTTTGTGTTTCTTAAAATTAATTCTGTGATACGACTTAGGATCGTGACCACAAACATTTGATACTAGTTAACAATGAGACAGTAAATCAGATCACGCAAAATTTCTCATTGATGTCATAGAAAAGCTAAGTCATTAAATTGTATATATTCCAGAAATACCTTTTTTATAAAAAAAAACTGGAAATATAATTCAAAGCCAAAACGAAAACGATATAAGCGCGAACGAAGATGATAAATATGGCTTCCCATAGCATGAGCCTTCAGAAGCAAAACAGAAGACAGAATTTAATATAGACGAAACGTCTAACACGAGCTTTACTTATAAGAAAGTTGTATCTACTCTTATTTACCAGGAAGTTTATGTATTTTATGTTACACACACTCACACGTGTGCCTATCCGTACACGCGTATGTGAAGTGTTTCGACGTTTTCGGGGCTCAGTGTGCGTGCGTTTAGGGGTGTGTGTGTTCAGGCATTAGAATGAAGAGCACGCGCGCGCCTTGCCCGCGACGTGACCGGCATATCGTATCGTCCCTTTCCCCCCATCTGCCCTCTCGCTCACACCACCCTCTGCAGCCATTTTGGAAACGAATTTCCCAGTTTTCGGCTCTTTCCGTAGCGCCTTTTAATTTTGTAATGTTATTTAATTTTGCTTATGTTTTTGTTTTCATGTCAGGCTTTTGTGAATTTGTTTTATCTTTTTAGTTCAGCACGTAGTGTTCTCATTTTCTTTGTAAAAAATAATCAGCGTTACACGAAGTGCTGGATTTGAAATATGGAAATGGGGGAGTGTTTTAGCTGTTCCGAGATATTACATCCATAACCCAACATCCCCAAAAAATATCGGTAATCTGTCACAATAATTTAACACATAAATTATTTTCAATGCAATATCATACCACAAGAAAAAATATCAGCAGAAAAAAAACAAAGTTTGACCGACTAAAGTTGAAATCAGAAACCCTTTTTGGAAAAAAGTTTCGTTGAAACTTAACCCTTGAGATGTTCGGGATGCAGATAGTGGACTTGCCCACGTATGGGACATTATACAGCACTTGTGTGTGGACTTATCTATCATCTCTTAGGACTTGCAACGTCTTTCTAGCGCCGAATATAACGTACTGATTAAATCGTATGTACTATCCACCTATTTGTATGTTCGTGTGAATGAGTTTGTTTGTGTGTTGTCTGTTTCTGTGTAGCTTTGTGTTGTGGACAGAATATCGAAAATGTTTATGTGAGATTTTTTGTATTGTGTTGCTGTTAGGTTTTTGTTTTCTTTGGTTTTGAGGTGTTATGTTGAGTTTATGAGAAATGACTGAAGAAGGGAGTTTTCCAGAACATTTGATCGATTATCAATTGGAGATAATTGCCAAAATCGTAGTTGGCAAAATTGGATAAATAGATAAAAAAGCAAAACACCCAGAGCGGGAAAAGACATTGGAAGATTCTTCCCCGGGGAAGAAGTATTTTTATAGGGGAAGGAGTATAAAAAACGTTATGTTCTAAAATCCATTACTAATTAAAAATAACAATAATGATGTACTTACTTGTGATAATCCTAAATATATAGAAACAGTTTCAGATATGTACAGGAACCTGCCGTCTGCAGCCACGGAGAGTGCAAATCCATCCAAGGACTGTAAACAAAACAAATAACGGGTTAATACAAATTGTAAAACTTTAATATTTAAAAATAATTACAATTACCTACACTAGGATTTTCTCCTACGTCTTGGGTGCGTTTACAAACATACAATATTCACATACACATCACGCCCAGACCCGGAACAACAATATGTGGATCACACAAAGAGTTGTTCCGAGCGGGAATCGAAAAAACGACACATTACACAGCCAACGCGCCAACCGTGCAGGCACAAAATTTTAATGGACTTAGGCAATACCTAGAGGCCTATATTGGCAATAAAATATAAGTATAAAACTATTAAATATTACAGTAATATTCGTTAATTTGTACAAATAGAGTGTAATGTATTGAAAAACCGCGTTTCATTATAGCTAAACAAAGGTTTTGTATTAAGAACGGTCACGGTGGGTGCGCAAGCGCAGGCGTGAAACTACTTGACAAGTACGGTTAGTAGAAAAATTATAGTATGTTTTATTGTAGGTAGGTTTTATTTTAGTTTTGATACGAATGCCTAGATAAGAACCAATTGAATTTCATATTTAGGTACCAATTAATTTTTTTGAAGTTACTTTAAAAATGTAATTTGAAAGAAAATAAAATAGTTTTATCAGAATCTGTCTATTTATTCACCTTCGTTAGAAATTTACATGTTAGCTATATCATGGATAACAAGTGTCTTAGATCGATTAAAAATAGATTTCTGTTTTGCAGACCATACTTTTGAAAGTAATATGTCCTACATTAACTTAGTGACGGTCAGCAAAAAAGTAGACACGCAAAAGTTTTTCTATGGAAAACCTTACGAGCATAGTAAATGGAATCTATTTGTTATGTATCTGTTTACTAGAAGTGGCAATTTGGATATATACTTAAATATGGCCATAATAACACATCAAGCAAAAAATCCAGTTGTAGACGGTCTTGATTTGTATGAGAGTTCCACAGATTCAGCGGTCGGTTTATATTGGTTTTAAAAGCTTATAGACTTATGTAAGTAGGTCGAAACAGTTAGTTAAAAAATATGATATAGTTGGGGTAAATTCAAAGGATTAAAAAGTTTGTGTCCGGTCGACCATTAAGTTTCAGGTCTAAATATTTTAGAATTGTATGGTCTCACAATCTAAACACACATGCAAAGTTGAAAACAATGGCTTTAAGAGTTAAGTATAAGTTCCCACATAACATCATGCATACGTAGATTACAATTTAAATAAAAAAAAGATATAGGTTTACATTCTCTAAAGATTATAAATTTTATCATTCCAACTAGATGTTACTTTAAAAACAATAACATTACACCATAATGGCAGCCAGTCTGGCTCTGGCTGGCTTAAAAATACAAAAATCAATTTAAGTTCTACGTTTTTCGTAATAGTAGCTAACATTATCATCAGTTTTTTCATCAAGTTTTCAACAATGTAGTCTCCTCCGGCTACTTTAAAATCCAAACTCGATTCAAAATTAGAAATTATAATGAGATGCACGGTTGACAAAATACACAGATCAAAATGATTTAATTTTTTATCACAAATCCGCGGCTAAACGGTACTGGCCAGTAAAAAGAGTGGATTATAGACATAATAGACCATTGTATGATCTCAGGTCTATTTAAAAAAGTTTATGGACGTGTCTCTTGTTATTTTAAAGGCTACTGTTCAAATTAGTTTTTTTCTTCGACAGTTTTTGATCAAAAATTTGAATTAAGGGCTACAAATTACTAGAAAGAAAGCAAAAAGATCGATTACCAAAATTACTTTTTTGTTGATAAGAGTTAAGGTGGGATTAAGAAATCACTTTTTATATAGTTGACATTATTTGTTTAAACAAAAACTAATTTCCAGCAAAATTAAATTGTCAATGATGAAGACATTTCATAAAGAGGACAAGAAAATCTAAAAAAACATATAAACGCAATGATAAAAAATTACTGAATAGAAATAGTGCAGTTAATTAACACAATGGATAATCTTAGTCATGGTCTTTATAAGATAAGCAAACATAGAAATGTTTATGGTGTCCAATTAACATCCGAACTTAGAGAGACAAGGGCAACTGACAATTTATTAATATGTCATAAAATTTACAATGACTAATGATAAAGAAGTTATCCATCATCATAAGTAAGCTAACATCGTCCACGGCTAAATGAAATCTTTGTCCTTGGGTGAGACTTTCGTCCAGTCTTGGAGTGATCTCCAAGACTTCGGTCATTGATAAGAGGATGTTGCTGGTAGTTCTTCTTGCCTAGTTTAAGATTTAGAATACTAATTTTAATTTGATTCGATAAGCCAACGCTTATGAGTAATCGGAAAAACCGGAGTAAATTGGATGGTTCCGATATTTAAACGAGACCCTCTAAGCAAACGCTTAAGACGAATCAGAGAAACATAATGCTAAGAGCAATAACCAATCATAAACATTTTGCAACAAAACATGTTATAAGTTAGAAACTCGCGTTCCTTCGTGTCCGTCCTTAATATTTTTCACAAAAACCGTACAAATAGTCCCGCAAAATAGTTGATTTTCTACATAATGTATAAAAAAATAGACAAAGCATCACGTACTGAGAATATTTTACAGCTGGCAGCAGTGTAAACCGCAGCCCACAATATTATAATGACGTAGAATCGATTGCAAAATGATAATTTACGAGATAGAATAGGTGGAATTGCAGTTTTAGAGATCAGTAGGACAATAATGAAACTCGGTGTTAAGGACGCAAGAGTAGTCATGATTTCGTATTTAATGGATGTTAACAGGGACCATAATAGGGTATGAAAATTAAAAATCCTGATTAGTCTGTCAGTTAGATTAGTTACATTGAAAAAGTACTAGGCACGTATTTTTTTCGTAAACATAAATAATACTAATATAAGTTTAAGAGTAACAGTTCGGTATAAAATGTACCAAAAACGACGCCATATGATATTTCAAATCATCGAAAGTAATATCGTCAGCGTGGGGAAACACGATGGACATTAAAGTCAAAATTAGTTATATCATTCATCTCTATTTGTGGATTGTTTTTATGGGTTTTGTTTCTTATCAATGAATCAAGGATTGCAATTATTTTGACAACAGATATTTCCTTGATATCCTACATAATATTAAGTCTTTGACTGCCGAAAGAAACTCTAGCGTCCATCAACAGAAACCGCGTTGGCAGTGAATGGGTTGCAGCACGACTGGGAAAAATCTTAACGTAACCCAAAAGTCATGGTGCTAAAAATGTACATGTCACTTTGAATTAAATTAAAGCCTGAAGGTAGATAAACAGTTTCCCTGAATAGCCCAGAACCATTCAATCACATAGCAAGCCGAAGGGACCAAGAGTCATCAAGGTTTTCCTTCCACAAATATTAACAATAATTTTAGAAATTGACAACTTATCGCAATCATTAACCACAAAGGTAACGGTAACGTTATTATCATTGTGAACTTTAATATTGTATACGGAACGTGATGCATTGTAATCTGTTCGGTCTTGGCCGAGTTTTTTACTTAACCCTATCGACTTGCAACAAAGTATAATGTACATATACAATTAACTTCGTTATGAAATTTTGAGAAATCTGTGAAATATTAAATTGAGTTTTTTTTCTTGACTTTTATTGTGCCGTGTGTCGCAGTCTTTTGTGTGTTTTCGATTGTATGTTTTGTTCGTAAAAAAGCGTTAAGTCGGCCAAGCTATTGCTCAATGGAAAGTCAAGTTCGAATATGTTAGGCGCAGATACATTTAATTTTTTCTGCAGTGACGCAAGAATTCGTTTTGTGCGCTCTTTTTTATTGGACGTATCTTTAATTTAGTAGTGATTGGGTTATTAATAATTGCGATCGATTTATTAGGTTTAATTTGATATTGATATTTTCTAGAATCTTTTCTTATACATTGTCCTTACCGACACTTTTGTCTATCTTATTATGTACCATAACTATGACTACCCCATAAAAACATTTACTAAGGTAACTATCGCATTCGTTCAAAAATGATGTACAATTTAAAACCTTCTTTATCAGTATCTGTTTACGGTTCATTTCATTGAACAGTAAGTATATATTATCTTACCTGTAATATATGCGTTCCTTGGTGCTGCTCGAACAATTCCATGGCCAGACCTATTGCCGTCCGTCTATTTTGGGCGCCTGAAACAAATGAAAAAGTACTATAAGTTTACTAGCATTTAGATCTTCATTAGTTTGATCGTTTGGAACATTTAGTCCTTACAGTTCTGAGCAAATGATTCCTGTAAAAACCTAATTGTTTCAAACATTTATGATGGATAGACAAAAGTAAGTGTATAGCAAAAGAAAGAAAACTGTGTTTGATATACATTTTTCTGATAGATTATTTGGACTTAACCCACATAATATTATTAACAATTTGGCTCTTTTTGTAGTCTTATGCTATTAAACCGAAGTATTACCAACCACCATGAATACAATTCAAGAATCCATATTGAAAGTCCAAGCTGATCTTTCTCGACCACATATTAACCTATCACTACAAGAAGCAGTCTATATATAGTAAAGTGAAAAAAACTAAATCCCAAACCTACTTTAATGATTAAAAAACTTAAGTAAGACTACCATTGTTCAATAGACATGAGCTACCATTCAATGACAAGGCAAATAGCTCTTTTTGTGAACTAATTAAATACTTGAATCGCGTGGCTCTTTTTTATTGGGACTATTTATAAAGTTGGATCAAGTTTCTATACTGGCTAATAAAGTTTAAATAACTGTATATTTAGTAAGTAATCCAAATAGCTGTGTTGTAGAAGGTTTTAATGGCAAGGAGTGGTAGGAATTTGGAAATGGAACTTAACCTGATAACAAATAAAGTTGAAATGTACATAACACTGCTGTGACTGAAATGAAACAAGAATATTTTAAAGATATCCAAATTATTATCATTTATAGAAAATCACAGACAACTATCCACCTATGATGTAAGTATTTTGTACAGCTTAACAATTTTCGCGCTAGCTATGTTAGCCATTTTGAAAATCAACATCAGCCTATAATCAAAGAGAAGTCTGAGCAAAGAGTTCTCAAACGGAGAAGGTTTTAGCACCAATGACCACGCTTGCTTATAGTTTAGCAATTTTAAACTTTGAATTAGGAATTATAAGTTCAGGTTTGCGAAGTTTTCCTTCAACGCTTGGGTCTAAAGAAACTTAGGAAGCACATATGATTAGATTATTATTTTAACGGAAAAAGTCACATTTGTACTTGCCAAGTTTCGACCAAGCCCCCATGCACGCATGATAAGCCTTAACCTCAGGGCTACCATGACTACGCATCAGTCTTCCAAATTAATACTCGAGAGATTGAAATCTTCACTGTCTTACAATTACTAGAGAACTGATTCTAAATTTTAAACAATTGCCAATCCATATCAGTTCTAACCTCAACCTTACCATCTCTCTAAACATAAGCTAAAAGATCTACAACCATAACCCACTCAAAAACCTGAACCAAATAACAATAGTTCATACAATTCCAAGCTTATTTCACAGTATTCGTAGCTACTGTTGTATGGGTTCCTGCGATAGGATCAATGGTGTCGGGTTGCGCGTACGCACGCTACTTTACGATGACGTAGACACGTGTTTTATTGTCCTATCCGCTTTTAACTTAAACTGGATGAAATGAAGATGTTGAATGTATATTTTTTAAATCATTTGTTGTATTGTTTGAGTCATCGGCTGATGATGTATCGTTGGTTTTGGTAGGATAGGTAAAGTGATTTTCTGATAAAGAGGTTTTGAGGAAAACTGCGTGAGAACATGACGATATGTTTAAATTTGAGGTTTTTGGATGGGAAGCGATCTGTCTATTTTCTAATCTAAAAATCTATAGGATAAGGCAAAAGGGAGTAACAGCGCAATTTTTTGGTCAGAATTTAAAATTATTTTTAAACCAATCTGTTGAATCCGTAATATAGAATGATTTTTTATCATCTGATACCAGAGAATACCACTTTTCTCGGCATTGTTTTTTTGCAAGTAGTTTTTTTTGTGAGGGGAAAATCATCAAATGACTCTTCTCGCCTAGGGTGAGGTGAGAAGGAGAGTCAGACTTACTGACTACCAACCCCACCGTTCTGTATCCTGCTCCAGGTCGAGGCCGCGGTACCTATTTGCGCTTGCCCCGCAACCTGCTGCATTTTACGAGTAGCTAAGAAACATATTCTAAACTTCTAAGACAACAGTGAAAGCGGTAGATTTCCAAAATGTCTTCACATCGTCCACAAGGACACGAATGACGGACCAATCGTGACATAAGTTCGTGACGTCGGCGGTCACAGACAGACGGACAGACACGAGCATTTAGTTCAAAAGTGCGAAGGAAATCGTCACATGTTGCTGTTGCGTAAGGCCTGTATTGGTAATGTTTAGAAAATTTGGTAACTTACGCTTCGTGAGTTGCGAATTAGGTAAATTGATTCGTAGCGTTGGGTAGCTTGATATGGTGAGCGTTTAATAGCTCGTAATCCTATCCTTTGTCATTGAATTCCTATTAATGATGATGATATTGAATTAAATGGCTTTTCCCAGCGTAGGTTGGGCGAGAGGGAGTTTCAGACTCTTACTGACTAATAATCAGCCTGTTTCTTCTCTATTTCGGAGACGGGGTCACGGTACCTTACCTTACCTTTTGTCCTGGGTCGCAGTTTAAGGGTTTATTAAAAAGTTTTATTACACGATCTTTGACAAAATTAACAATCCTGACAAATAACCAATAATATATTGGTAATATGCTGGACAACTCGAAAGGATGATAATAAGTTTTTTGGAGAATCAACCCGTCCCTCACCTAACAAATTGCAGGTTTGCTTACTGCAACAGAATTTTGATACCACTTTATAATACCACTTTTAACGTCATGAAATGACGTTAAAAGTGGCATTCATACTTTATCTTTCAAAATGATGCTGTCAATTTAGTTCAACTCGCAAGTGTAGCGCTAGTGTACTACTACTCACGGCGGATTCAGATTCGAAATTTAGAATGAAGTCTTACAGAATCACACTGCTTTTGAAAGAGTAGCAAATGTATTTAAATCGGCCGTCACAAAGTTATTAATCTATTACTAATATTACCTTTGAAGAATGTCTAAGCCTGACATAATATACATTATTATAATTTGTTATTTTCATGTACAGATAATGCGTTCTCAGTGTACAAGCGCCGGAAATGTTGTTCGTGACTGTACACGTTATCTGTTCTGTCGGCGACTGTACATTTTATTGCCCACGCACGATTCTTAGTGCAAATTGTAAATTAATGGACTTTTCTTCTGAATATATTATTTATTAAAAGGATTATTTGTTCTTGTACTGAACAAATTATTATATAAGCATCATAATATCCTTCCAAAATTTCATAATTGTATGGTGTACCTATTTATCCTAAGAAACAATTAATTGTTTTCCCGTTTAACTGCGTACCTCATAGACGAACAAAACAAATCTATTATCAGAATAAACTTATAAACAAAACACAATAAAACAAAACAACATCATATTCTACGATCGTAACTTTTGTAAGACAAAAAGAGAAAAAAAAAGTATTTCGCTACAACTTTATACGAATCTGTAGGTTGACACATAATTCATCGCTTTCATCGGACTGTCCCGTTTTATGTTACAAAGCTACCGTAAGATAGAGGGCCTTATTTTGACGTTTCAAAGTACTTCTGTGTGTGTATGTATGTGTGTAGTGAATAAGAAAAGATATTATTCCCTTTATTATATTATATCAAATGATATGTGGTTTTATATAAAGTTTAAGAATGGTGCGGTGTATCGTTTTCTTTTATCTGTTTCAGATTAAAATGTCATGGTTAGTTTATTTTTTGGTTGTGTGTTTTGATTTGTAGATAAATTGAATGCATAAATAGCCTTGTCTTTTACAAAAGAATTTGGTCATCCCTAGTTCATAAAGCTGTTTTCAAAATTTGATTAAACAAATTTTTTATACCCACTTTAGTTAAAACATTTGAGAAAAAGTTTTAGAGTGCATATAACAATACGTTATAACAATACGAACAAAAGTAAAAAAATACCTATTTAACAATATATTATTTATCGAAATAATTGTCCAATCAAAATCAAATAAAACAAAACATTAGTAAAAATAAAAAGGTGTCCATTTTTTATGACACCTCAATGTTTCAAATATTCAAAAATAATTTTACAACAATAAATCCATACCTACAGGTACATCCATAGTCACCCTACAAAGACACAGGTCGGCATCACAAAGCGGGTTGGAGTCAGTTTTGTTGAATTAAACCGTAATAAAGAACACGCGAGGCTATCTCAGCATCTCTAGGGTTAAATATGTTCCACCGGCTAAATCCTACCATGTGAATGTACTAGTATTATTGTCGAAAACGTATAAAACTATTTTGGCTTAGTAAAATAGTTTTATACGTTATAGTTATAGTTGTTGAATCAACGATTTACAAGCGCTAATGGATCAGACTTCGGGTTCTATTGCTCGTCGTATTCGAAACTTTTAGAAGGTATTTGTGTGGAATCAAAGTACTGGCAAAATATCACCGCTTCATGGTGAATATCCCATACAAACGCACGAAGTGATCACATCTAGTTTTTTCATCAGCGCTTTTTAACTCAGAGGTTCTTCCTTTTTACGTTTAGGTACGTTTTACGTTTTAAACTCTGTTATTTACAGATAGGATTGTGGGGCAAGCGCATTACGTACCGTGTCCTCAGGTTTTTAGTCAGTAAGAGTCTGACACTCCCTTTTGCCAAGCCTTAGGCGAGTCATTGGTTGATTTTCCCTCATCAAAAATAGAAATACCAATAGTTATAAGTGCCCACTGCCGAGCAAAGGCCTCTTCTCACACGAAAAAGGTTAAAGCATTAATCACCACGCTTGCTCAATGCGGGTTGGCGATTTCAAGCTTATAATTAGAAATTATAAGTCCAGGTTTCCTCACGATGTTTACCTTCACCGTATGTCAGTTGTGTCTAAATAATCAGAGAATGTACATATAACTCGGAAAAAGTCACATTTTGTACTTGCAAGGTTTCGAACCCTCATGCATGAGAAGCGGACTCCTTAACCTCCGGGCCACGACCACACTATGTATATTACAACTGAATATATGTC